GTGTGTGTGTGTGTGTGTGTGTGTGTGTGTGTGTGTGTGTGCGCGTGGGGATGGGTGTGTGTGCATGTGTGTGTGGGGTGGGTGGGTGTGTGTTTGTGTGTTTGTGTGCGTGCGTGTGCGTGCGTGTGTGCGTTTAGTTTCTTTATTACCTGAGTGGAAATGCTGCGTGTTATCTATTATCGCGAAGTTTAGTGCTTCTGATGACAACCTAGCTACTGATGCACTCACCAAGCAATGATGTTCTCCTCTAAACTTCTAGTGCCACGTCTTCGAGTAATAGTGTGATAATATCGCGTGGCACCGGCAGTGCCATCCTCTCGCAGACGTCCAGATGGTTATGTCGATGGTTGTGTATACAATCAAGAGCGTATAAAGAAGGAGAGCGTACAGCGGTGAAATGCTGAAACCATATTGCAGTAATAGTCGAATTAATCAACTTTTCCCGTTTTATTTTGACGATTCCTTGCAGTATTATCGATCAGCTGTCCTACCTTGATAATATAAAACAAACCGCATGTCCCTACGATGCCCCTACGCTGATATAATGAGCGGTGAAAATATGGTATTTTCGCCGAAAACCGACTCGAGATCACTTTACTGTGACTGTCTCTCGCTTTGTGTCCAGTGTATTGCTTCCGGTCGCCGCTGTGTAGCGTCATGGTAGCGCTGACTCACGTCAGTACTATAGAGTTTACTATACATCCAGCGTGAGATGGGCACAGGGGGGGGTCATCACTATGGCAATCAATAACAGAAGTCATTCATTCCATTTGTCAATCATTGACGGAAACACGTGAGGTTTCCCGACGTTACCTCAAAGCGAGAGACAGTCACAGTAAACAGTGATCTCAAGTCGGTTTTTGGCAAAAATACAATATTTTCACCGCTCATTATCTCAGCGTAGGGGCATGGTAGTAACATGCGGTTTGTTTTATATTAACAAGGTAGGACAGCTGATCATTAATACAGTACTGCAAAGAATCGTCAAAATAAAACGGGGAAAGTTTATTAATTCGACTAATACTGCAACATGGTATCAGCATATCACTGTTGTATGCTCTCCTTATTTATATGCTCTTGATACAATCAATAGCTGGGGTTGTAATTTTATGGATAGTTGTATGTTCAATCAAGCTGGGTTTAAAATATTATCGATAATTGTATAGATAATTGATAATTGGATTGTTATATTGTTAGTTGTATGGCTATATCGGTAGCTGTATGGATAATCAATAGTTGTATATACGATCAATAGCTGGGTGCTGCAATATTATATATAGTTATAGGTAGTTATATAGACAATTGATAGCTGTATACAATAGTTTATAATTGTGTGTTTGTGTGGCTGCTGCAGGACGTGGCTACGGAGGGAAGCCATCCCATCAGACTCTACTCTCGCTACATCGATCGCATCCATGTGTTCTTCAGGTGAGTCCGTCCGTCCGTCCGTGTCACCGCCGCGGCGTCCATCTCATGTTTTAACCTTACCCGTATGCTTGTGTCAATTCTATCCTCACGCTTGTGTCACTCTTGCCCCCATATCCGTGTCAACCCTACGGCCACGTACGATCATTACCTTTATCCTTACATTATTTATATTTTTACGCCTAACCCTAACCCTAACTCTACTGCCACGTTTGTGTCAACCCTGCCTGTCCTAGTGTTTGTGTCAAATCTATCCCCATGTTTGTGTCAACCCTGCCTGTCCTAGTGTTTGTGTCAAATCTATCCCCATGTTTGTGTCAACCCT